ATATAAATGAAGAGACACCTTTCGGTTTTATTTTATCATTGTTTGTTTAGCCAACCCAAAGGAAATGCAACAGGTATAACTTGAGGAGGGACTGAGAAACTTGGGGTGAGAGGTCTCAGCTTTGGTACAGGTTTGTAATAATGACACATTAGGGGAAGGAAACTCAAATCCACCTGGGACTGGGACCCCTAGGAGTGGGGACGCCCCGCGATAGCAATAGAGGGATAGGGTGAGGGCATGGGGATTCCCCCTAGGAGCGCCAGGGCGGAGTTGAGCAGAGGGGACATTTACCTTCCTCGGTGGCCGGCAGGAGGTGGTCGCTGCTGGCAAGAGGAATGCAGAGATCGTTGTCTTGGGGGAAGCGGTCACATTCGAGCATGTCGGGCCAGGGGAAGCCGAAGGCAGACATGACAGGAGCGCAACGGTCCTTCACCTGCACGCAGAGAGAGTGGCATGGCTGGATGGTCTCGTCTAGGTCGTCGAGGCAGACGGGAGCGAAAAGCGAGCACAGGAACTTTTTGGTGTCCGGGTGGCACTGTTTCATGACCAGCGGGATCCAGGCGCCCGCCTGCTCTAGCACCTCCTTCATGGTCTCGTGGCCCAGCAGGTTGGGCAGCCGCATGTTCTGGTACTCGATGCCGTGGCACAGCTGCAGGTTAGCCGGGATGGGCTTGCAGTTGCTGCGCTTGTAGGAGAAATCGGGCTGGCCGAAGAGGAAGAGCCCTCGCGCCGAGCCCAGGCAGCAGTGTGAGGCGAGGACGAGCAGCAGCAGCGAACCAGGGCCCTGCGGCATTGTGGGCGCGCGACCCTCGAGGGGCGGCGGGACAGAGCCGGGGAAGAGCGAAGCAGCCGAAGCCCGAGCTCGTCCCGGGTCCGCTTGCTCCGGTCGGCGAGGCGAGGGCCTGGAAGGCAGTGGCGGGAGCGCGGGTCAGCAGAGCGCAAGGGGCACGGCGCGAGGAGTACTGCGCGGGCGAGGCGCTCTCAGCTCGGCTTCGCGCGGCAGCCCAGCGCAGCTCCTAAGGGCTCCGACCCGAGGGAGCAGAGTGAGCCGCTGCAGGGGCGCAGCCAGAGTTTTCTTGGTCTTTTTTATGCAAATCTAGAGGTGGGGGATGGGAGGGAGGAGCCAGTGGAGAGTAATCCGAGGAGGCTTGGTCACTGCTTTTGGGTCTGGTTTTCCATTGAAAATGCTTCCCAAACGCTCCCAGGAAGGAAATTCTGGCCGCGCCCCCTCCCCAGATGCTGTTGCGCGCGCCCTATGATCGCTTTAAACAACAAACAAACAATCCTGGTCTTACTCCCCCCGCCCCCAGCCCCCCAGATAGCGTGCAGGATGTCGGTTGTGGGTTAGGCTTCGATATTCCTGGGCATCAAGTCCCGGCGGGAATCTATCCCGCCCCCAGCGGGGCGCCGATTGGGGCTTGTTTGGCTGTAGCTGTGAGTTTACGCTCCCTCCTCGGGGCTGCTGGGTGACCTGTGTTTAGGTAGCTGCAACCCTGCAGACCCTACTCGCTCCTGGGACTTGCCTGCCCAGAGCCACCTTGGCGAGCCTGGTTTCACCTTGACTGTAGCTGCAATATAGCAGCCTGACCCCAGCAAGGTACTCTCTCCTACCCTTTCAAAAACGAAGAATTAGGAGCAAATGTATTTATGCAGGAAAAGGAAAAACAAGCTGTTTGGTTGCTGTTTTGTCGAGAAAGATGTAAAACAGATTTTGCCCGTGTGGAGATGCTTTTACAGTCTCATCAGACTCACACACGAATACCGATCGGTTCCCTCTCCCGCCATTCTCTCCCTGCCCAGTCTTTCTGGAGAAGTGACTGTTTCTCAAATAGATGGGATGATTCAATGCTCAAGGGCTTCTTGGGTCCTCAAAGAGTAGTTTCTGCGGCAGGGCGCTCAGGTGAGCTCGACAGTGCGTCCGAGGAGGTGGAAGGCTTGGTGCCCAGGCACAGGGACTGGCAGAGAACGCGGCAGGTGAGCAGGCTAGGAAGGTCGACAGACTTGTTTCATTCATTCTACACATCCCAACAGGGAGCTCTGGTGGCCTAGTGGTAAGGAGCTGTTCTGCCAAACCTAAGACGTGTGTCGTTCGGTTCCACCAGCTGGTCTGCGGGAGAAAGTTGGGCAAATGCGATTTAGTGTTTTAAAAAACCCCAGCTATGCCTCAATCCCAACTCGATGGCACACAAAACCAGCCCATCCCAGCAGGTACCAAGATGGACACCGGATATGCAAAGGTAAATCTTTATTTTCGTGGAGTTAGGGTTAGAGTCCCTTTGACTACTGCAAACAAGCTTGAGCTGGTGCCGGAATAGGGACAGTGTGTGTGTGTGTGTGTGTGTGTGTGTGTGTGTGTGTGTGCGCGCGCGCGCGCGCTCCTTGTTTGTAATTAACCCTAGGTCTCTTCCTCTTCATTCTTCCTGGCGGGGCGGCTAAGAGAACCGCGAGTTAATCCCTTGGAGCAAGCCCGCCAAATTTCTTTCATATGTAAGGTGGGCGCATTGTTATTCCTTCCTGGCCTCTTGACGCCATCAACTGGCATTTTCGGCGGCTTCCCGCTTTCTCCCTTTGCCAAGATGCGTCCCTGATTGCTTAGCTCTCAGGGTGATCTCGCTGCTCAGAGAAGAAAGTTAACGCGTGGGGAGAGAAAGCCACTTGGAGTTATCTCCTACTTCTTCCTGGCCATAAACACACCGTGAAAACCTCCATAAGGAGGGAATGCACCTTCTGAATTCCCTAAAGGCCCACTGGCTTCCCTCTTCCCCTTCTCAGCGCCCAGAAGGCCTGGGAGCTGCACAAGACCATTGTTCTAACGCATTGGCCCTGGGCCTTTTCATTTCTAACTAAAAGACCAAAAGGCCCCATAAAGTCACTTTCTTCTCAACGCGAACTATATGGAAAATAAAGTTCACATGAAACCAGCCGCCGAGCTTGAGGCCTGCGGAGATAGAGGGATTGAGGTCTGGGAGTGGGATATGGGTCTTCCCGCCTTCGCGGCCTCCAGGTCCACAGACCTCCGGTGGGGTCGTCCCCGCCTCCCAGGTATCCCTGCCCCGGCTCCCGAGGCTGGTCGAACGAGTTCCAGGCGGAGCGTGGCCATAGAGCCCGAGGCGGCGCGTGGCCATACAGCCCGAGGCGGTAGGGAGTCGCGATGCGGGGCGGGTGGGCCGCGCGGCCGGAGGCATTGTTTCCAGAGCCCGCGCAACTCCGCTCACCTCCAGGGGGCGCCAGGAGTCACGCTGCAGCCTCCATGTCTGTCCTGCACGCTGTTGAGCCTGGACTTGTTTAGTTCCCCGCCGGAAGGCGGCCACCCAGGTTCTTTTCTCAACCCTCGCCACCCAGCCTCGGCAGCATCCTCCGTTCCCATCCTGGCTTGCGCCCCTGCCTTTCCCGTCTGCTTTTCTTCGGCTGGCTAAGCGCGCGTCCGCGGGACGAGCTGATTGCTACAGAACGAACAATATAGCCTCCCGCAGAGGGCCGACCGAGCTGAGCTGCCGCCACTGCTTCTTGGAATAAAGACCAGATCAGGATGCTCCTTCACCATCCTCGAGAGCCTCTGCAGCTCTGGTTCCTCCTGGGGTAACCGAATCCTGTCACCTGGCGCCAATCCTCCAGCTACAGATGTGTGCACGTACCTCAGCCTCGCGGCAGCGACGTGCTTACTCTAGACTGAACCTTTCCCAGTCCACGGTCTCCCGCAAAGCTTGCAACTGATCAAAAGCCGCCAAAGTCTTTTGCTTTTGCAGTTGTGCCGTCAGTACTTTCCCCCTCCCCTCGTTCAGTAACTGCCGGTTTTAGGTACCGAAAAGTATTCATTCATTCATTCATTCATAACCCAAGTTTAAGTTGTATGTGTGTGTGTGTGTGTGTGTGTGTGTGTGTGCGCGCGCGCGCACTTGAGCAAATTGCAAAAGGGTCCTTAGGGATGAGGTAGCATAACCTTTCCCACCTCCCGCCTCCCACATATACACAGTGAACAACATTCCACCCCCAAATGCTACAGGCCTGAAAAAAAGAACCTCTACCATCTGCGTTCTGGTTTTGACTCCGGATTCTCTGGTTCTATCTTTGCTGTTGTCTGTTGGTCACTGCACAGTTAGGTACAAAAAGAAAGTTTTACTCATCTTTCCAGAACAATTTGACTGGTTGGTTAAACCTGCTGACTGCAAAGTTTTCTGGGCAACTGAGATCCTCGATATCGTGGCAATAAATTTTTTTCCATTGGAGGTTTTCTCAGTTGAGAAGCAGGGCCTAGGAAGTTCCAGAATGTGGCCTCTGCAGCTTCACTGATAGAGCACGCGGGGTGGGGATGGGGGTGGGGGTGGGAGGTGAGGGTGCGGGGGTGAGAAGTGAGGTTGGAGGAGGTGGGAAATGACCCTCACTTCCCCATTCATGAACAACAAAACTATGGTTGCTGAGCTCTTATTTTCGAGTGGGAGCGAAAACAAGAAAGTGTCGTTTCTTTTGATTAGAAAACCTGGAGTTTCAGTGCTTCCTATTAATTGCACCGCCTCCTGGGAAGTTTTACCTCTTTACATAAACGAGATTTAGGCATTCACACTGATCAGATCCAGAATGGCCTAGAGAAACAAGAAAGGCGCACTGACTCTAAAAGGTTGTGCTGAAAAAGACTGATTGAAGGCCAACCCTAGGGTCATATGCTGCTGTCTTAAGAAAATTCTCAGTGACAATGTAGGGGGATGCTTTTATTATAGGTTTCCAAAAGAAGTAATTTCGAGGAAATTGAGGCACAGAGAGGTCAATAATTTGAAGACTGTCATTCAGTAAGTAGTACAACTGTTGGTCTTACACATGGTTGGCAAGTCTCGGTCTGCATTTGGAGATCCATTATGATCTGTTAAGTGTCTCAAAAAAACACTCACTTAACGCTCATCCATGCATACTACTTGTCCTGCCAAAATACAGACAGCGTCCCAGAGCATTTCCGGCTGGCGGTGGGGCATTTTTTGTTGGCATTCGCAGCAGCCATCTGGGGGCACCCTTTCTAAAAATAAGCAATGCCCTTCTAGGATTGAAAGTTGGGTTTCTTTTCACGTTTGGGGCTCTGAGAGCCTTCACAGTTTTAGATATTGGATTAAGAATCGCCTTCTTTTTTGGGAACGGAGGCTTACCTAATTGACCTGCCTTTGGCCATCCCTCCCACCCGTAGAGAGGACTCAGACTGCAGCAAAGTCAGCACATTCTCAGTGTGACCCCAGAGACCTCAAAGGCTCCGCCCCGGGCTTCACTGTAGTTAAGGAGCAGAGCACTCTTGCTTCTCGTTTTAAGAACAGTCAAGTTTAAGGGCAAACAGCTCACTCACCAATACCTAACCCGAGCTCTTGTGCTCTTATCTCTGTGTTTTGTGATCTCAAAGACTGGGCAGACAGGCCCAGGCCAGCACTGTAAAAAGTAAATGCCAGGACCAGAAAGGCTCTGACTCTGTCCACCCTGCAGGCCCTCAGCTTTCCCCACCTTGGCCCTGTGGCAGGCAAGGCAGGAGTCAGTGTCTGTCGGGGCAGGTGGAGAGGACGTGTATTTGTCCTGAAGGAGCCTCTCAGGGGAGAACTTTTACCCCCATGCTGGTTGGTGGCACAGCCCCAGAGCCAGGGCACATAAACTCAAAACCATTGGGAACCCATCAATGTCCAGAGGCTTCTTTGTGCTAATATTGCTAGCTTAATTGAAAAATATCTGAAGGCATCATGGGTCCTTTTGGATCATCTTTAAGGACAGTTAGAACATAGTTGATCCAAAATTACAAAAGCAGTTACACTTATACGATGGTAAGCAAATACTCTGACAGACCTTTTTCTTATTCTGCACTAATCACACAAATTTTCTACTCAACAACATACTTGAAATGAATTGGGAAAAGCCGAATGCCTCTTTTTAAGGACACATTGATGCACATGGTAGAGGTTATCGGCTGTTGAGTTCTTGTGAGAGATCAATTCCCATTTTCTCTCCTTTTTCTTCTTGTTAAAACTTGTTCCTTGCTGTGAAAATGACTAGGGATTTTGAGACTATTAG